CTTCTTTGGGAAAAATGTGTGCTATCGATGTGGCCAAGAAGGTCATTTTGCTCCGAATTGCAAGGCATACCTACCTAAGAAGGATAATGAACAAGGCAAGAAAGTGAAAGCCAAAGTCTTTGCTTTAACCCGGGAAGAGGCAACAGAGGATCCAAATGTAATGGCAAGTATTCTATTAGTATCTGAACTACCTACATATGTTCTTGTAGACTCCAGAGCTACTCATTCATTTATCTCCACCGCATTTATTGCTAAATCATGTACTGCATGTGAAAATGATAGTGTTCTAGAAATTTCTATTCCATCCGGTAGAATTTTGAATACCAATCAGATCTCTTGGGCTGTAAAATTAGTAATGGAAGAAAAAGAATTTGTAGCTGATCTACACCTCCCAAACATGAAAGACTTTGACGTTATTTAAGGAATGGATTGGTTGGGAAGCAATCACGCAACCATTCGATGTTTCAAAAAGGAAGTAGTTTTTAAGAGGCCTGGGGAGGATGAGTTTTGATTTTTCACTGTACAAGTTAAGTCTTTACCTTAACTCGTGTTGGCCATGAAAGTACAAAAGATGTTAAAGAAAAGATCTTGTCAAGGGTTTCTAGTGAGTATACATGGAACACAACAATCGGAGATTACGATTGGTAATGTGCCGATTGTACGAGATTTCATTGATGTATTTCCTGATGGCTTATTTGGCGCGCCACCAGATAGGCAATTGGAGTTTACAATTGACCTCGTACCTGGTGCAACTCCAGTGTCTAGAGCTAAATACAGGATGGCGCCAAAGGAACTCCAAGAATTAAAGATACAGTTGCAGGAGTTGTTGGATAAAGGTTTCATCCAACCAAATACATCTCCTTGGGGCGCACCGGTTTTGTTTGTGAAGAAGAAGGATGAGTCAATGAGATTATATATTGATTATAGGGAACTGAACCGATTGACAATCAAGAACAAATATCCTCTTCCTCGAATTGAAGATCTCTTTAATCGTTAAATGGTGCAACAGTATTTTCCAAAATTGATTTGAGGTTGGACTATCATCAGTTGAAGGTAAAGGCAAATGACATTCCAAAGACAGCATTTAGAACTCGCTATGGTCATTATGAGTTCACAGTAATGCCCTTTGTATTAACAAATGCCCCTGCAGTATTTATGGATTTATTGAATAGGGTATTCCACCAGTATTTAGATCAATTTGTCATTGTCTTCATTGATGACATTTTAGTGTATTCAAGGAATAAAGATCAACATGAAGAACAACTGAAAGTAGTGTTGGAAACACTACGAAGGGAGAAGTTGTATGCCAAATTCAAGAAATGTGAATTTTGGCTTAATTTTATAGTTTTTCTTGGTCATGTGGTTATGACACAAGGAATTGAAGTGGACCCTAGTAAAGTTGAAGCGGTAACAAACTGGTCCCGACCAACAAATGTAGGCGAAGTTCGTAGTTTCTCGGGACTAGCCGGTTATTATGGGAGATTTATTGAGGGATTCTCCAAAATAGTCAGGCCAATGACCCAATTAACCAGAAAGGGTGTAAAATTTCAGTGGACTGAGAAATGTGAGGAGAGCTTCCAAGAACAGAAATAGAAACTGGTTACAGCTCCAGTTTTAGCTATACCAGAGGGTTCAGATGGATTCATTATATACAGTGATGCATCCAAATAAGGTTTGGGATGTGTACTGATGCAGTTTGGGAAGGTGATCGCATATGTCTCTAGACAATTAAAACAACATGAGCAAAACTATCCTACGCATGATCTAGAGTTGGCAGCAGTAGTACACGCTCTAAAGATATGGCGTCACCACCTTTACGGGAGAAAGTGCGAAATCTATACAAATCATAAAAGTTTGAAATACTTCTTCACTCAAAAGGATCTGAATATGAGACAGAGAAAGTGGCTAGAGTTAGTTAAGGATTATGATTGCACTATCTATTACCATCCGGGTAAAGCTAATGTAGTCGCAGATGCTCTTAGTAGGAAGACAGTAGGACAACTAGCTGCCTTACCCACA